ACGCCACCATTTACCTTGGTTCCTGATCCCCCATTGAACAGTCATCAGATTCAACTGAAAATCGCTCTTCTGTAACTTAAGAGCATTCAGCGGATTCCGGGGGGAGGTAGTAAAACAGATCCACAGGATCATCTATTCAATGCAAGCCCCCCACTTTGGTACGTCATGGTGTTCTCCTCCAGAAGGGATGGACCAGGCGACAATGGCAGGACACTGCTTTCTCCACGTTGACCAAAGCAACCGAAGCTTGCAGACACCCACGAATGCACACAGGGCGGGTCTTTTCCTTTTTCTAGAGTCACTGTTTCAGAGGCATGTGAAAAGGAGCGTCCTATCCCTGCCACAATCGCCTGTTCTGAATGCGAAACGTACCCAAGTCTCTCCATTTCTCCTGATAAGGCTTCACTTGCAGTGCCTTGACCCGCTTCATGGCCCTTCTTGTCTCTTCCAGTAAGTCTGAATCTTTCTTAAAATCAGGGGCCCAGAACGGATCGCAGGACCCGAAGTGGGCTTGACCAATACAGAAGAGAGTGAAAGAAAACCTTCTCATGAACTAGCATTCGTGCTTCTATCCAGACAGCCCCAGTTCGCATCTTGGCTTTATTGTCGATTAGCCTGGGCAGAAATGCAGAATTTTTGGAAGGGTTTCCTTTGCAATTTGAAAATCGTACAGTAGTAGACCGCCAGGACTAAAAACTGCCCTGAAGGTACCTGACAAACCTTGATTCCTTTACCGTTCTGTTTTGACAATTAAAATCCTACACCCACTCTCCAACTGCTGTTTACCCCAAGGGGATGGCGTCGGGAAGGCGTGAATGTTTTTGCCATTCCACGCAAAAAGGAAAGAAAATCGAATCCAATATTCTCAGTAAGGCAATGGCTACATTTGGGTCAGCTAAAGTGTCAGTAGAAAGGAAATATTTAAGCATTCCTCAAATTATTCATTCGGGTGGGGAGACGGGGGGTGATGTAATTCTGCAGTTCTGTAGTTTATTGCAGGCCTGAAGACGGAGTCTGGAATAATAGGATTGTTTTCTCAAGAGAACACGTAACAAGATTGGGTTATATGGATTTAAAGAAAGAGACATGTTTTGGGGGTGCTGGGAAGCCCAATCTCACTCTTTCGCCTCTGGCCACTATTCCGCCCCCCCTGTTATTCGTCTCATTCCCATGTTCGCCCTGTCCACCCAAACTTGGTTGCGTGGATTGCTTTGTCCCTCTTTTGGACACCAAACTTCTAATCAGGAAGAGGAGAGACCAACAGATCCCCTCAATTTTTTTCAGAAGAAGAGCAGTTACTTTGCTTTTTTTCCCCCAAATAATTTTATTAAGAATTATAAATGAATAAAAGAATAAAAGTCAAGACAAACGACAAAAAATGCAAACAGAAAAACACAAAAAAGCGGGGGGGG